AGTGCTCTGTTAGGAACATAAGGAACAATCAGATCTCTGATATCAGATGGAGCTTGGCCATTTAAGGCTTTATATGTGAGAAGGAGGTTTTTAAATTCTATTCTGGATTTAACAGAGTTAAGGTGGATCAAAGCAAAGCCACCTTAAAAAAAAAAAAACGCTCCAGCTCTACAGTTTCTCTCAGGAGGAACGGGCCAGTCCCCAAGTTTTAAAGTAAAGTTTATTTAATCCAATAAGATGATGAAATTTTTAAAGTTAATTAAGCTACAGATTTAGTCAGATTTAAATAGGACTGCGAGGGCGGAGAAGGTCGAGTGTTTTTAGGGAAATTAAGCTTTTACCTGTCCTCTTGCACCGTAATTTGGATTCCTAGTTAATTTATACTAGTTTTATACCAAGTTTATTTCTTTATATCTTTTATTTTTACAATCAGAAGCCCAGGAAGCTGTCTGAGGGCCTTTTTGCCCCTCCAGCCCCCATTAGTGACGCCATTGCTCCGGTTACCTGTACTATCAGCGCCCCCTGCTGTTACCTGGCGGTAGCGGAGGTGGGAATGTGCGTCTCCGCGGCTCTCTGGACCGATTTAGCCTCACATTTGACACGGAGCGGCTTAAATAGGAGCAGCAGCGCATGTGTGCAACAGTTGGTCTGCTAATAATAACAGGCCGCTGCGCCTTTAAGAGGCTGAATGCATATCTGCTCACTTTGAGGTAATTAAGGAGGAGAAGAGTTCAGAGCTGCTGCTGATCACCGAACCGAACCTCCTGCTGCTGCTGTTCTTCTGTCACAGACAGACAGACAGACAGACAGGTACAGGTCGGATTAAATTACGCATTGCGCCTTTAAGAAGCTGTCAACAGGATTAGAGTTACGCACGGCTGGCTGAGGTCGCGCGCACCGGAGCGCTTTTTACGCACAGAGGAGCGACATTTGTCCCTCTGGTTTCTTCCTCTCCGTGGGCCCGGACACAGCTTCCACGCAGCGCGACATGGCAGAGATCGGGAAAGGAGTGACAGCCGGGAAACTGGCCCTGAACGTCCAGAAGAGGCTGAGCAGGGCGCAGGAGAAGGTAGGCAGGCAGCAGGACGCGGTGTCAGGGTGTGAAACTGGATCCCTGGGCTCAGAAAGCAGCAGTTTGATGCGGGTCCGGGGCTCCCTGGAGCTCTGGAAGCCTTTAGCTCATTTTAAAGTTTAAAGATCAGAGATAGAAATGTCTAATTAACACAATAAAATGCTTTATAACAGGGTATTAAACTCATACATTAAAAACATACTAGAAATGTTTTAAAAATATGTCTACATTAAGATATTAACTGACAATTTTACAAAATACATTAAAATAAACCAAGAAATTTTCATTTTTAACGTTAAAAGCACTAAATGAAATATATAAAGCAAACATGGAGAAGAAGCTGCTTTGATCACATGAGGCTGAACTGGACTTTTTGCTCCACTTGTCAAAACTGATGAAAATCAATAGCTGAAAACAGTGAAACATGGAGGTGGAAGCATGATGCTGGGGGATGGGGGGAGGCTTTTCTATAGCAGGCAGGCTGTGCTGGAATAAAAGCAGTTAGAGGCTACTGGGCTAAAGGTTCTCCTTCCAGCAGGAGGAGACATGATGGATGGTTAAAGTCGTAGGGAAATCATAATTAAATGTAAAATAATTCTGGCTTAAACATGTATATAAATGTTCTCTTTCTCAGACCATATTGTCCCAAAAGTTAGAAAATTTCCATTTAAAAAAAATCCTGTCTTAAAATCTGTGTTTCCGTTATCCTCTGCAGGCCAGTTAGTTCTACGTCAGCCTGAACACCTAAATTCGGCCAATCATATATCAACGGTCATCTGTCAATCAAATGTTTTCGGTCATAGCATCTTGATTCATATGTCGCAGCTAATATACGCAACGGTTGAAACCAGAATCCTTTCCTTTCCCATTGAGTTGCGTCCCAGTGTTCACGGGGATGGACGTCTGTGTCTTCAGCAGGCGTAGAGCTAACAGAACTGGCAGCGTTGCGAGGCAAGGGCTCAAACATGTACGGCTGGAAGCCTTCTACACCAAACCAAGCTTCTGCCGCCCAGGCGTCCTCTTCCACAACATCTTCGTCCCCGCTTTCCTCCTCTAAATAAAAAATGGATGACGGAGGAGACTCATCCACGACCTCCGACACTAAACTCTCCTCCTCTTGCATGTTTCCTCTGTCCATAGCGTTCCTTGACAGCGTCGTTTCTAAGTCACCAATTTAGTGCTACTTGGTCCCAATGGAATTTCCCATTGGGACCAAGTAGCACTAAGATGCTAACTGGTTAGCAAGATGCTTCCGACAAACCGGCCACAACCAAACATGCCTGTGAACCTTCCACCACAACAATCCGCCCCCTTTCACTTTATTCATTTGTGTAAAGTTGTGCACCACTTGGGAGAATTCGAAAATGCAACCGTTGGAAAAGCCGCTTCTCTACGACTTTAAGATCAAGGCAGAGTCACATGTCAGAGCGGCCTAGTCAAAGCCCAGACCTAAAATCAAATGAGAATCTTTAACAAGACTTGAAGGGCTCAAAGTTTTCTGCAAAGAATGCGCTGACATTTCATCCTGTAGATGTTAACCCCCCACCCAAGATCTGCAGCTGGACCTAAAACCAAAGATGGCTCCACTAAGTCCTGACTCAGGGCCGCTAAATGCAAACATTACCTTCCCTCCCCTTCACTAAAATCCCAACAACCATCAAATGATGCGATTTAAACTCAATTACACTGCAAAAATGACCTGAAAATAAGTACAAATTTCTTAAATTAAGTGTATTTACCCTTAATTTGAGCAGATAAATCAGATAGTTTGCCAATGGAATGAGTATTTTTACTCTTAAAATAAGATAATTAGATAATAGTGCACAGTGCAATAGTTTTTTTTCTTATGTTCCATTAGCAAAATGTCTCACTTCCACAATTCAAGAAAAAAATAAACTTATTTTAATAAATAATTGCTTTTTGCAGTGTAAGTGAGGAAAAAATAAAAAGTTTCCATCTTTACATTAAGAATTAATAAGCTGTGTGGTGCAGCAGGACTCCTATGCATCAAAAACATTAAAACATTTATATAAACATAAGAAAAGAGTTCCTAAGGTTTCGGGTAAAGGAAGAACTAAATTCCAAATAGATCCTAAAAGTGTTTTATTATTTAATAGTTAACATGATGATTAGAAAACACTTTTTAACACAGTTTCTTCTGACTGGATGTTTGGAGTCGTTTTATTTTAGAGTAGAGATATTAGAGTTTAAAGCCAAGCGCTACCAAACACCCGACCGTCAAGCACAGCGATGGCTGTGTGATGCTTTGGGCTTCGTTTGCTGCTATAAACCCAGAGCACCTGCAGGTATGGACTGGACCATGAACTCCTCTGTAGCTTGGTCCAAACTCCCAAAAAGACGAGCTGGCAGCAGATCTATAGCAGAATGTATGAACGAGGAAACGGCCTAGTCAAAGTCAGGATCTCATCCTGGCTGATACAGTTTGGGCCGTAATGAAGCTGTGCAGCAATCTCAGTAAATTCCTCTGCAGCGAGGTGAGACGGATGATCTCAGAGGGAAAGGATGGCTTAACCTCAGAAGCTTCTGGATCACAGGGTTTAGATTCACCTTTTTTACAATCGTTCTGGTTTGGTACAAGAATCAAAGCTCTCCCACATTTAGCTTCTAAACAACTAAACAACGACTTTAGATCCAGAAAACTTTCAAACGACGGACCGAAGTGTCTGAATAAGACCTGAGCGACAGCCTGTGTGGAGCAGAGTTCTTATTGTCGGCTCTAATCACTCTTGTTGCTTAAGCTGCTGAGGTTTTGCCCTTTAATCACCTCGGAGCCACACCAGGAGCGCCGTCGCTCGTTAGCTCAGAGAACCCGGACAGACCCGGTCCTCCTCGGCTCTATGGATGCTTTGAATCACAGTAGAGTTCAAACATGTTCCAGGATGCAGCTGCTGGTCAGACGTCGGCCAAAGACGCTGGCTTCAGCCGCGGTACAAAACAGGACTTTAACGGAGCTCTGGGAGGGACTGGAGGCTGGATGGGGAGCGCTCCATGGTTGGGTTCTGGATTTGGTTGGAGACTCAGTTGGTGTTCGGTTGGAGAATACCTCAGTTTGTGTGGGAAGCATGGCTTCAACACGTACATGACTGTTCCATTAACATCCAACTCTGTTTGACACAATTTAAAATTCTACATAGGCTGCATTACTCCAAGGTTAATGTGCATAAAATATTCCCAGACATATCGGCCTTGTGTGAGAAACGTGAACGTGCAACTTTATCACACAGCTATGCCCTATGCCATAAAGTGCAAATATGCTGGGGTGACTTTTTATTTTATTGCTTTATTGTTAATCTCCCATTGAGATTAACAATCTCTTTTTCAAGGGAGTCCTGGCCTAGATCACATTACAGTTTACAGTTACATCTATCTATAATTAGGAATTCCTAAAACAGTTACAAACCATAGATATAATCTCCAAACCTTTGAGCAATCGTTTAAAATGTCCGATTGGAATCAAATCCTGAAGATTGTTCCATGCTGTGGGAGCAGAGAACTGAAAAGCTGTCTTTCCATCTTCAGTGTGGACAGTAGGTACAGAAAGAAGCAAAGACTGTTGAGAACGTTTCATTTCCTGTCTGGGATTCTGGAAGTCCAGATAATCCCAGATCCTGTTCTGATCTTTTTTTGGGAATATCTGACAAGCTCTTAAAGCTTACTGAAGGACAGCGGCGCCTCCTGTCTTATGGCGTTATAACTGCCAAGAAACCGATCCTTTCGCATTGGAAGGAAAAAGAAGTACGGTAATCTAAGCGCTGGCTGTCAGACCTGAATGACACCTTTCACCTGGAGAGAATCGGATGCATTCTAAGAGAAACTGACGGAGTTTAAAAAACTTTGGAGCCGTTGGTTTCCTACCTTCATTCAATAACTGACTATAGCCACAGCGTAGCACTCCTGGGGGAGGGTGGGGGGTGGGGTCTTGTATCTCTTGTATTTGATACTTAATTTCTTTACAGCGGGATTCTGTTTGTTGTTTTTTGATTTCAGTACCATCATTATTATGGTAATTTTACTAGGGATGCACGATATAATCGGCCCCCTATCGGTATCGGCCTTAAAACTGAATATCGGACATCGGCCACCCCACCGATATTTAACCCGATATTTGATCAGCTTCTGAGTTTCTAAAGTCTAAAAAAAAAAAAAAAATACTACTTCTTCTTTTTTCCAGACT